CGACTGGCTTTCGAGCAAGGGAACCTTTACCTTTACTTTATGGGAGGTGGGGGGAAGCAGATGAAACATCGAGTGAAGGGCTGGAGCCTGGAGCCTCTCTCTGTGGGGTTTCCTGCAAGCCACTGGTCTTCTCTGTTGCAGACGGTGCGGGAGTTGAGTCTAGCTGTTCAGCCTCTTGTCCTGCTGGACACTTCAGAATTAGCAGACATTCAGCTTCACTGGGAGATAAAGCTTAACTGATTATGACTCTCCTTTCCCATTTGCCCTTATTTCTTTTGACAAGAACCAGATGCCCAGGGCTTTTTTTGTAGAAAAAGCCCAGCAGGAACTCATCAGCATAATAGGCCACACCAAAGAGCAGAAACTCATTAGCATATTAGACCACACCCCTGACAGCACAGCTCATTAGCATATTAGGCCACACCCCACGTTACCAGAAGTGTGGTCATCCAGCCACACACACCTTTCCCTTCTTATTCTGTTGATCTTGTTTGTTGTCAAAACCCAGGGCCTTTTTTTGTAGCAGGGACTCCTTTGCATGTTAGGCCACACACCCCTAATGTAGCCAATCCTAATGAGTTTCTGCTCTTGGGTGTGGCCTATTATGCTAACGAGTTCCTGCTGGGCGTGGCCAACTCAGGAGCCAGCCGGAACTCCTTTCCTGTGCGTTCCTGCCCAAAAATAGCCCTGCAGATGCCCAATGAGGAGAGGCATGCCCCTGGCCTCTCCATAGGAGAGAATTGCACAGAAGGGTCTATGGGGATCGGCCCCCATCTTCAGAGGACATCCTGTAGAAGCCATAGTGGGGAAAGACTCACAGAACCCTTTGAATATAGTCCTACTGGATTTTTGTGTGTTAAGAAAGAGCACGCAGAGGGTCATCCTGATGGGGTTCATCAAAGTATATCAGTCGTGCTTCTTGATTTATTTAAAGCATTGTATGCCATGTTTCCACCCAAATAGGGTCCCGAAGCCAGCAAACATCCAATCATTAAAACATGGCTCTTCAGCTTGGAAACGGAGATGAGCACCGCACCCTAGAGTCGGTTTCACCTGGCTTTCAAGCAAGGGAAACCTTTACCTAATGCTGTTATCACTTCCAGATCATTGCATGTTTTGTGAAATATGTTATCATGCACCCAATGCAGGTTGGTCATGCAGTGGAAAAACAGATGCAAATGAAATGAACTGAAAGCTATGCCTGGTCATCTGTCCCAGTGTCAATTCTGGAATTAATTTTAGAAATTCTCCTAGAATTCAGGAGGCGTGCAGAGTAAATCCGTGCAAACAACAGGGGAACAGAATAGAGGAAGTCCCATTTTGCCCCCAAAAATGATTTATATATGGGATATAAAAGGCACTGGTGATAAACCACTTCCCCTTGCCTTTTTTTGTATGGGTCTTCGCCTTCCTCTCCTCACTGTGTCTCTAGCACAGTAATATGTAGCCGTGTCTTCAGTTGCCATTGAGCTGAGCTGAAGGTGGATCTCCTTGGAGGAGGAATCGGCTGAGATGCTTATACGGGACTGGAATGCGGGAGCGTAATCTGGGCTGTCACTTTCTGGGTCTATCTCTCCCATCCATTCTAGGCCTTTCCCGGGAGGCTGCCGGATCCAGCTCCAATAATAAACATCAATGCTTTCACTAGCATCAGAGAAGGAGATGTTGCATGTCAGGCTGAGGTTCTCTCCCGGCTTCACCACTTTGGATCCTGGCTGGCCCAGCTGCACTTCAGACAGGACGCCTGTGCGAAAGATCCTTCTAGCCATGGGGCGGTGGTGCACCCCCATCAACAGTATGATGAGGAAGCACACAGGAGCATGGGTGAATGGTCAGTTCTCCCTCACCAAGTACTTACAGAATGGACCAAGACTGAATGTAATCAGAGAGTAGATGAACCACTTCATGATTGCTCCTCCAGGTTTTTCTTATGATTTGGAAATGGTCAGGTTAGAGCTCCCAGAGACAGCAGGTTTCTTAGATCTGTGGCTCTGTGCTTAAAAAGCAAACTCTTGTGTGGGAATTTGCATGTGTTTGTCAGTCCGGAGATTTAAGGCTCCTCGTCTTGAAGCAGAATTGGGATCCTGTGGGGAACTCTGCTGCCATCTAGTGGATAAGGAAAATATAGCTCATGTTGGGTGTGGTTAAGAGGTTGGGACTGAAGTGGACTACTGGTTTGATTTCACACTCCTGCACCTGAAGCCATCTGGGTGACCTTGGGTCAGTCACAGTTTACTTATTTATTTATTTATTTCTCCATCCAAAAGATAAACATAACTCACCACAAAAAGAACTAGAATTCTTGGCTGCCAGACAATCTTTGGATCTCCTGGCTATTCTACACCCACTGCCATATGATAATTATTAATTTACGCTCATGTCAGATGATTTTCTGAAGGTTGACCTAAGAAGGTTTATCTGCATCTCAGACATTAATTGGTTGATTAGTTATTTCCCCGCAGAAGGGAACTCTGGGAACTGTAGTTGATCATGCATTGGTTGTTAGTTAAATACCTTATTAACCCAAAAGTAAGACATATAAGAGGATGCACCTAACAAAGGTTTAACCCTTTAGACATAACGGGTATGTGAACTGAAGATGGACCTTTGTTTTTTTCTTCACGATAGGTTGGAAAGAATAAAACCCCTAGTCTTACTTCAGGTAAACATTATCATTAACAGAGGACTATCAGCACTACTATTAGTTAAATTCATGAGAATTTCCAGAGGACGGCATGATCTTTAAGGTGGTATAAAACCTCATTTTTAATGTTGATCTAACTTTATGGGGGGTTTTCCCTAAGAAGGTGTTTAAGAGGACTTTCACACATTTACTTATTACAATTTTATTCCATGAATTATTCCATGCATAATGACCCTACAAGGTAAGTTTCAGTGACAGCGAGAGATTGTGACTGGTCCACTTCATGGCTGAGCAGAGATTTGAACCTGGGTCTCTCCAGTTAAAATACAGTAGTCTGCCAGTCCTTCAACAATGTGACAGTATCATCAACAGCCATATATGCATCTCTTTTCCCCTACTTCCACTTAGTGTATCTCAGTGCAAATATGAAGATCAAGAGGTATGAGATCTCTTTTGTTTAATTGACTTGGTTTTCGGAAGCCAGACTGTATGAAAACTTTGAAATGTGAAATGGCTGAGTGGAAGCAATTCTGACATAAGCCTATTCTATTTTCAACTTTTCCCTATGATTCGCCAATTGGAAGCAAGCATAGCTAGGCTAGAAATGGTATACCAGCAATGACAGTGGGAAGGGGATCTGTCTCCATGCACAGCTTCGGGACAAAAGAGAGCTTGGGGAGATTGTACAGGAGTAGGGTTGCCAGGCCCCCAGTTCAGGTGGGGGTTCCTCCATTTTTTGCAGGCCCCTTTCCATCACCAGCCATCTGGAAACCCCACCCGCAAATGCCCCCAAATGCAATTTAATGACGCCACCCAGAAGTGATGGCATCCCTTTGCTGACATCCGGAGGGGTGATGCTCCAGTTTTGAGGTGAAACTCTATGGTAAAATTGGGCTCAAACAGGAAGATCCTGGAGGAGATCCTGGAGCCAGCAACCAATAAGGACCTGGCAACACTTTATAGGAGGTGGGGAAAAGCAAGTGAATCACCAAGGGAAGGGCTGGAGCCTGAAGCCTCTCCCTGGAGTTTCCTGCATGACTCTGGTCTTCTCCGTTTCAGATGTTGTGGGACTGAGACCCCTGTATGGGATTCAGCTGTCTAGCATCTTGTCTTGCCGGAAACATCAGAATTAGCAAACAATTGATTTCCCTGGAGATAAAACTTAACTGACTGTAACCATCTGTTGCTGTTTGCCATTATCTGTTTCGACGAGAACCTCTCTGAATGGCCAATGATGAGAGGAGTGCCCCGGCTTCTCCACAGGGTAGAACTGTACAGAAGGGTCTATGGGACAGGCCCCCACCTTCTGAGGCCATTTTTAGAAGCCATAGTGGGGAAGTGTTATGTACTGGACTATGAACTGACATACTGAGCTTCAGTCCGTGCCTCATGGAAGCTCCAGTATCCTGAACTGACAGTTCTCATTGGCGGCTACTGACAGCAGGCCAATCAAGGCACAGAATGGTACTTGGAGGGAACGTATTCTATTGGTCCTTAACGTCTAAATATAATTGGTTCTTACCGTTCTACTGGGTGTGGTTTCCCCAGCCCGGGATGTTTAAAAGGAGCTCTGGCTCCTATGGTTTTTGTTGTTGGATTGTTCTTGTGCAATAAAGTTGGAATCACTTGGTTAAGAGCTGCCTGAGTCTGATTCACTTCAGGAAGGACTCACAGAACACTTTGAATATCGTTCTGTTGGATTTATGTGTGTTAAGAAAGAGCATGCAGAGGGCCATCCTGACGGGAGGGGCATCAAAGCCCGTCATTCCTGTTGATTAACTGAATAACTTAAAACATCTTATGCTGCCTTTTCAGGCAAAGAGGGCCCCCAAGGCCGTGAATATCCAAGCATTCAAGCATTTGAAATGTTACAATAGTTTTACAGTCTGAGAAGAACATATAAACATATAAAGACAACAGAACTGGGGAAGAGGGTTAACAAGAGTTACTGTGAGGATGCCAAACAGAACAAAAAGTCTTTGTCTGCTGGTGGAGGACCAGGACCCAGGGACAATTTACTTAAAGGGCCATTGGCTGAATTTGGAGCTTGGGTGGGGTTGCCCAATTCCTGCTTGGGGGGGGGGCTTTAATACGATGCATGAAGTCATTTAGCCCCTAAACTGGTGTCTCGTGTCTGTACTCTGACATGCAGGGGGCAATGGAAGATCAGGATTGGGTTTCTTTAGTTTGAAGTGAAGGATCATGCAAAATACGAGCCCCCCATATAAATGCAATTAATGGTCATGAACACTGTTATCACGTCAAGACGACTGCATGTTTTTGGACTATCTTATCATGCACCTAATGCAGGTTGGTCATGCACGGGGGGCGGGGGGATGTGAATGAAATTAAGTGAAAACTGTCCCTGCCATCTGTACCAGAATTAATTTTAGAAATTCACCTCTCATTCAGGAGGCATGCAAGGAATGGTTGAGTGAATATATGAAAACAACAGGGGAACAACAAAGGGGAAATTCAGTTATGCCCATGATGATTTTTATAGAGCTTATAAAAGAGACTGGTGGGAAACCACTTCCCCTTTTCCTTTCTTGTACAGGTCTCTGCCTTCCTCTCCTCACTGTGGAAGTCCAACACAGTAATACGTGGCCGTGTC